CTTTCTACTGCTTATGGAAAGCATTATAAGGAAAATGTTGGGGTGGGGAATGGAGATATAAGAAAATCTCTGTCTCCTTGAAGCATAAAATTTACCCTTCTTTAAACACAAAGACTTGCCTATTTATTTACTTAAAAAATTTTTTAGTTGAGTATAGTTGACACAGTGTTACATTAGTTTCAGGTGTACAACATAGTGATTCAACTTCTCTATACTTTATGCTGTGCTCACAAGTGTAGCTACCATCTGCCAAAGGACAATGCTATTACAATATTATTGACTATTTTCCCTGTGCTCTGCCTTTTATACCTGTGAGTTATTGATTCTGAAACTGGAAGACTATATTTCCCATTCCCCTCCATCACTCATTTTACCCATCTCCACCCTCTCCTCTGGCAACCATCAGTTCGTTCTCTGTATTTATAGGTCTGATTTTGCTTTTAAACACAGATAGATTTAATTAAGTCTATTTAAATCACAGTGATGATTCCCTTGCCCTCTAAAAAAGCCTAATATGAAGTAAGATATCCTTTTGATGACGTAAAAGCCAACATTTTACAACTAAAAGCCTTAATACTCAAAGTTCACAATGCAGAAATAAATACTGCTTTCCAACAGCATCTGTCGTTAAAATTCAGGTACAAGTCTGTTACTAAAAAAGAGTTTGGTAAGCAAGGTAAAACTTCTATTCAGTACTCTCCCCAGAATACTGCTAATAAAGAGCTAGGGGAAAGAAGGTTGAAAGCCAAAAAATCTATGTCAGCAAAATGTTCATAGAGTTTAATGACAAATATAATCCTGTCCCTTCCAGTTTTCCTAAGGAGCTCCACAATTCTGCATCATTTGGAGGTCAGTGCATAATTCTGACATCCAAGGTTATTGTAACTCTCAGAAAGAATGTTCTCAAGTGATAAAAATTTCTAACTTGTCAAACATTTAGTTGTTTTATTTCTCAGGCAAGTTATACTGGCAAGTACATCTATGGGAGACTATTTATATATCCTTCTTGATCATTGTGGACAGGGAGTTTTCAACTAAGAAACAAAATATAAAACATCACAAAATCATATACTTTGCAAAAACATAGAACTCTCCAATATATCCTATCCAGGGGATCTTATGGGATCCCTTCAAAAACAGAGTGTCAGTAAAGCAGGGAGGAAAATTGGACGTATGCTTCTTTATACACAATAAAGGAAAATAATGAATTCTTAAATATCATTAGGATGAGAAGCCTCTTCATCCAAAAAAGAGACAACAGAAGTGTCAGGGGGAAATTAGCATAGAAAATAAAATAGCAAATATAACACCGACTAGAAAAAAAAATTAGCTAATTATATGCTTTCATCTTTGCTTATGAGAGGAGTAAAGCCTAATTTTTAAAGAAATGGAAAAGTTTAGGGAATACCAAGAGTATTTTTTCACGCATTATAGCTCTTTGGCATAGAATCTATATGCATTTATCCAGATGTTATGGATGGAAATTATGGGATTTGATGGTAACTGGAAGTGCATTTGAAGTACAGAACAGTAATAAAATGAAAATGGATGAGTATGTTTGGAAAAAAACAATTCTATTTTATTCTTTTTTTATTTATTTTTTTATTCTTATGTTAATCCCCATACATCACATCATTAGTTTTAGATGAAGTGTTCCATGATTCATTGTTTGTGCATAACACCCAGTGCTCCATGCAGAATGTGCCCTCCTCAATACCCACCACCAGGCTAACCCATCCTCCCACCCCCCTCCCCTCTAGAACCCTCAGTTTGTTTTTCAGAGTCCATCGTCTCTCATGGTTCGTCTACCCCTCCGATTTCCCCCGCTTCATTCTTCCCCTCCTGCTACCTTCTTCTTCTTCTTCTTTTTCTTAACATATATTGCATTATTTGTTTCAGAGGTACAGAATTCTATTTTATTCTTAAAGGAATTTAGGATCACACTGTGTTATAAGTGCCAAAACACATTGGAGATAAAGACACAAGCACAAAATTGCCTTCTTCCTAAAATTCACACTTGAAATAAAGTTACAGTAGAGTGAAATTTCCTAAAAACAGTTTTGATGTGAACTGTTTAATGGTCTCTAAAAGATACATTTTAATAACATATATAGTATAAAAAAAGACTTTCTGACTATGCTCGGGTGAGTATTCCTTCCACGGGAGGCGATTGTGAAGTGTGTCGGACATGGTGGGTAAGAGCATAAACTCTGGATCTTGCAGACAGGGGATAAAACTCAGGTGTATCATGTGTGAACTTTGTGACCTTGGACAGGTGACTAAACTGGCTTGCCTCATCTGTAAAAGGTAAGAGTCCCCACCTTGAAGAATTCCTGTGAGGATTTAAGTCGATTAATGAAAATGATTGTGATTATTATTACCACATAATTCTGTACAGAGTTTACTCGGTTATGATTATACTGACCATCAATACTGACCATTTTTTTTAAAGACTTTATTCATTTGAGAGAGAGAGAGAGAGAGAGCATGCGTGGGGGCGGGGGAGGCACAGAGGGAGAGGGAGAAGCAGGCTCCCCACTGAGCAGGATCATGACCTGGTGGAAGGCAGACACTTAACCAACTGAGCCACCCAGGCATGACCACTTCTGATGCCAAGTGGGTCTATTCTTCTTGTCTCATGAATGATATCAGCTCAGATGGTGCCTTAGGCTGTGTTAACACTGCTCAGAGACCATGAAGAGATCACCCTGGATGCCGGGAAAAGGAAAGGACATGGCACTAAAATTCATTTAGCACATATGATACAATGATAATTGTCTGTTTATATTTGGATTAGAAACTTAAAAAAAGGGGGGAAACTTTTGATCCTCTCAAAAATCTTATAGGAATTAAAATTTAAAAATATTTTATAAAGAAACTTAAAGTACAAAGTACCTAATTCATTTTTTGAGATGTAAATTTCATTCAGAAAATATATTTGAAGAATTATTCAATTGAATGAACTAATAAAAATTTAATATTATTCAAATAACTTCCAAGTAATTCATGCTTTAGAACCAAGATTTTATTTCTGTTACTTGTTTATCTTTTTGTTTTATTCAAGATTAGTATAAGGAAAAAAGGTCATTTAAAATTATACAAGGATCATGTTAATCCTTGATATTCTTTTAACAATTATATCATTCTGAAACCTGTTGTTCAGACTAAATGCACCAGTTCTCAGGGAGTAATCATAAAAATAAAGTTACCATTTTGATCTTCCTAGAAGATCAAATTTACTTAAAGCGACACTCATGGTCTCATGCTCATCATTAACTCATCTAAGCACATTTTCAAAGTTTGACAGTAGGGTTCCAGAACTTAATTATAATCCCTAGAAATAAAGAATGAAGGGGCATTTACAGATCATCTGCTCTTTTCTTCACCGAAAAGCAGAGAAAGGAAAAGTGGCTCCCAGTTAAGTAAAAATAACTAGATTGAATGTGCAGTGACCTAGCTTCTAAGGCCCAGTTCTGTCATTATTTAATTTCCAAGAATGATGTGTGAAAACTATTTAGTTGTGAAAATTTAAAAGAATAGTAATACTACTACGAATAAGAAAAAATAAAAGTGTATTCCTTTGAAGTTATTAAAGAATAAATGAATACATGTGATATAAGTCTAACTTTTGTTAAAAGGAAGTTCAGTGGTATTGTTAGGATTTCCAAAGAATCCTACCTTCTAGTTCTCAAGAATACCCCCAGTGGGATCATGCATTAACTTCTTTTGCATAATATGACTCCCAAGTGTAATGGGAGGGAACGCGCCAAGAAGAATGGGTCTGGTGGCCAAAGAAGCACTTCCTTGGTACTCAGCAACAATGAACAAAACAAAGAGCAACAAAAGCCTCCCTTCTACCCAATAATGCAAAGGATTGGGAAGAAATCTCTACTTGGCTGGTAATGTCATATGATAGTTGCAATTAGAACAGCACAAGCAGAAATGAGAAAGAGAAAACAATGGGAAAGAAAAAAATAGAGAATATAAGAGAAAACATGAGTGCTACCATACAGCAAAAATCATGCTCCTTAGTCCAATGCCCCACACTACACACAATGGAATCTCAAGCTATATGTACGCAGCACGGCATAATGACTTAAGAAAAGAAAATTTATTTGGAGAATAGTTCCACGGAGAAAAGTTTACATACAAAAAATAATATTAACTTGTCTAACATCACTTATTTTTCAGGGTTTCTATACAGCTGAGGGTTTAGCTTTCTCTTTCAGTGACATAACAAAAATTGTTGCACTTATTATTATGATTCGATTTTTACTCATTTATGAAAGTTAGAACCATTTTTAAAAGCTGGATTGTTTCCTTATCGGTATATTATTTAGCCTCAAAATGTAGTAGGAAGTAAAAAAAAAAAAAGTAGTGTGAAGTAAGTCCTCAATAATTCCTTGTTGATTTTATCTTCACTAATTCATAATGATGAAATTATATTTACTCCTATTTATACTAAACCTTTAACTCCTTCACGCACATTCTAATTGCATTAAATATTGATTTTAATGGCAATTTAAAACATACATTATTAAACATAAAACACATTGCTCACATCTATTGAACTGTTAAAAATTATTAGATCTATGCCATTTTTGTAACATTATGCATGCATGTATTTGACTTCTAAACATTACCACTGGGCGCCTGGGTGGCTCAGTTGGTTAAGCGACTGCCTTCGGCTCAGGTCATGATCCTGGAGTCCCTGGATCGAGTCCCGC